GAGGCAAGGGAGAAAGCGGGGAAAAAAAAAATCGTACGTGCAATTTACCTGCCATATTGTGCGGCGAGATCCAGCGCGGATTCTCCCCGGCTGTTGCGGATGCTGGGGTCGCATCCGTATTGCAACAGCTGTGCCACCACTTCCGTGTGCCCATACTGTGCTGCACAGTGCAACGCTGTCTCGTTGTCCTTCGTCTGCGATCACACAAAGCCGGTATTTCGAGTTAACGGACACGCTCTCGTCTCGATTCGGGGCATCGTGGGGCCGTTTCCCACTCGCGGGAAGGGTTACGTGGACAAAATTAGTGGGAGGAGAAAAGAGAATGAAAATTCGTTGAAACGAAGGACGATTAAAATTGGATGGAAACGTAACGGAATGAGAAACGAGTCGGGAAATATTCTGAGACCAGATATCCAATATATGTTTCATCGATGCGGTGAAAGAAAAAAAGGAGATTTAATAGTAGGAACGTAATGAAATAAAACACGGTTAAAATATGTTTCACGAATGCAGAAGAAAAAAGGACGTTGAATCGTATGAAGTTTTATGTTCGTATAAAATTGACTATTGAAAACATCTGAGTGTAAAATTATACATACATATATTCGTTTATCTAATTATTAGAGAAGAAAGAGGTATTCTTTGAAATGATCGAAATAATATCCGTGACGAAATGGGGAATTAATTTCTATGACAGAGGTAGCGAATTATCGAACTTCAAACGTGGCGGAAATTCAAACTAAGTGTGACTTCATTCTGCGATTAACAAATATCTAAACGATCGATCGTATCGTAATAAATACATTGGAGAATAAAAAAAGGTAAAGAAAAGATCAACTTCCGCGTCATTTTATCATCGTTATCGAGAGAACTTATTCAAAGAATTCTGTTCCAGTAATCTCTCTCTCTCTCTCTCTGGTATCTGCTCAACGAGAGAACAAAAGTTAATTTCCCGTAGGAATTGCATAACTTCCTCTACACGGTATCTCGATGATAAAAAAGAAAAAGAGATACATCAAATTCCATCTTCCTTCGTAATCGATGCAACATGAACCGATGAATGAGCAGAACAAAAGTGATTTTACTTAATTTCGTGGCCGTTCTCCGGACGTTTGAATGGAACTGATAAAATTAAAAAACAAACAAAAAAAAAATGAAAGAAAAACAAGAGGAAGAATAAATTTACTGACCGTAAGATTCACTTTAGGTACCGAGGGTCCTTGGGTAAGAATTAACCGCACGATTTCAGCGTCGCCCGCCCAAGCTGCCAAATGAAGCGGCGAAGAGCCTTTAGCGTCGACGACGTTAGTGGAAGCCTCATATTGGAGCAATAACTTTACCACCTCCCTGAGGGATAAAAGCGTTTTCCCCGAATTATCGTCAGAATGTGCGCGACATGTCGATTAATCGCCGGTTTCGAAAGGAATATTAATAAGAAACATAGACTGAGGAAAGTTTCCCCCTGTTACACGTTCAAGTTCAAACTTTCGTTCTACGAGAGCCGGAAAGAACGAGAGAAATCAATTCTGTTGAATGAAGAAATTTCTTTTTTTTTT